GGTTTTTTGAGAAGTTAGAAGGGACGACGTGTAGAAAGAATTTGGAAAAAATTGCAATTTGTAGAAATCGCGAAGAAAATTGTAAAGGTCACTTTTTACAACTTTTTCTTATCTGAGTTTGTAATGAAAATTGAAAATATACATTTTGTAGATTTATGTCACCTATGTATATTGGAGTTTCTCCCTTAACCTACGCTATTCGAAACAAGAATAAAAATCTGAATGAAAGTAAAGAGAGACGTTCGCAGTACGATCGTATTATCTACATCTTCTGTACAACTTTTTAATGGCATCGTTCGAAGAACGAGGATACCGAAGTTTTTTCTCTCTTTAGACGCGTTTAGCCGGCAGAGTGAAAGAATAACGTTACCGTCAAGAAGTTCAGATTCGACGCGAACTTGCTGCTTGTTAGCGCGCTTATAATCAGCTTAGAAGAGAGTTAGCACCGAGTTCAGGGAGAATTGATCGAGAACGATTCGTTCGAGTTATTTGGTCCGTACCAAACTTCGCTCGTTCGCTGTTAGATGGTGTTGCGAATACAGAAATTGTAGGTCTTCCATCTGTACGAATAATACCTATTACTGAATTCGAATAAAAGGAAAAAAAAATACAGGTTGTTTTTCTATTCTCGCGAAACTTTGAAACACGAACTGTTTCGATACTAGATCACACGGTGCAGAGATTCGGTGTGTCTTTTCTCGTGTTCTGATTGGATCCAAACTGCGGACCAATGTTTTCACTATGAAATTGGCGATTTTTTACTACTGACTGCTTTCACTTTGCATTCAGATTAACTTCAACCCCTTAACCTATGATTTCTTTGCTGACTAAAACTGCCGCCATTTTGTCAATTTTACAGTTATTTTCACAAATTCAGGTTTGCTCTCGGGGCAATTTCTCAAAGAACAGAATCTTCTTCGATTTTTTTTTTATGTAGGATGAATAGAACAAGCTCTATGCAACACGCAGTACAACATTTCAAAAACACGACCTCACAAATGTTTAAATAACTTCTTCGATAAACCTTCATTTTTGCTCGCTAATCGTTCTTTCGTTGGTCCACAAGTATACAAAACTACCCTCAAAATTTCAAAAGAATCCACCGCATAGTTTCCGCAGAAAACGCTAACAAACTTTCACGTAAATTCACTGCTCATCTCTTGTTTGGGATTCCCCCTTAACCCCTTAAACTATGATTACTTTTCTGACTGTGCATCTAAGTAAGCGTCAGCCATTTACTGTTTTACTACTGTATCAGGTAAGAAACGTTAACCATCTTACATATTAATGACATTTACTAATCCTCAGTCTTACAAATTCAATTCCTTCATTTTTGCTCGCTAATCGTTCTTTCGTTGGTCCACAAGTATACAAAACTACCCTCAAAATTTCAAAAGAATCCACCGCATAGTTTCCGCAGAAAACGCTAACAAACTTTCACGTAAATTCACTGCTCATCTCTTGTTTGGGATTCCCCCTTAACCCCTTAAACTATGATTACTTTTCTGACTGTGCATCTAAGTAAGCGTCAGCCATTTACTGTTTTACCACTGTATCAGGTAAGAAACGTTAACCATCTTACATATTAATGACATTTACTAATCCTCAGTCTTACATATTCAAACGAAAGTTAGAATTACAATTAATACGACTATTTTTCTCGCATCTTAACCAAAATCTCCGCCACGAGTCTGAAAAGTTGTCATAGTTTAAGGGGCTAAGTACGACATTCCCAGAAAGGTCCAATTCGTACGTTTCTCGAAGGATCCTGTTACCCAGTGACGTGTACACCTCCAGACGTTTCATCTCGCGTTATTTCAGAAGGGAAAGAAAGGGAAGGGATAACGAGACACCTTTGTGGAAATCGAACGCGAGTCAAACAACGGGCGGAGGTCCTCAGAAATGACGAGTGCAATCTGATAGCGGACGTCTAGCGAAGCTGGGGCGGTATT